CGGGCCAGCAGAGGCGGCGGCGGAGCCGTGTGCGCTCGGGACTGACCGGTGCAGGCTTGTCCCATCCTGAGCAGCACACGGCTCTGCCACCGCTTCTGCTGGCCAGTGCAGACCCGGCCGGGCTCCTCCCATCCCCAGCAGCACATGAGAAGCAGCCCCCTCAGGGCCTCGCGCGCAGGCGGCCGGGCCCGGAGAGCCACAGCGCCCGGAGGGAGACTGGCTGGGGGAGCAGGCGCCGCCTTGCTGTGGGGCAGGGCAGGGCAGCTGGGTGGCTTCAAGCGGGCGGGTGAGGAGGCCGCTGTTTGCCCTCCCCCACGGGGGTAAGCAGCTTCCCTCCCCTCGCTGCCAGCTGGGGCCCACGGGCTGGCCCTGCCTGCCTCACTGCTGCCCCACAGCCCTGTGCTCCGCGCCACCGCCACTGCGGCCCCTGCGCTCCGCGACGGCGCCTCCACGCCACTGCCTCGCTGCCGCCGTGGCTCCCCGTGGGGCCACATAAAATGGCTTGGCAGGCCGCATGGCGGCCTGCAGGCCATACATTGGACAAGCTTGCTTAAGAGGATGCAGCTATGTGCGGCCCTGCCCCTTGCCTAGGGCTAGTAGCAATGTCTTAATTTGAAACTTGGTGGAAAACTGACTAACCCTTTCTTTAGGTTATCTTGGTGTTAGGTACATGCACACATTTCACGACACAGCTGCACACCACTGGGAGCTGGAGGAGAAGAACACTATTTGAGATTAATGTGGGAGCCTCTTGTATGGTAGACTGGCATCTAGATTCTCTTCCTTTCCCCTCCAGTAGCTCCAGGTTCCCCTTCCTGCCTCCTGTTGGTACAGGCACTCCTCTAAAGTCTCTTAAAGGGGTATGATCTTTCATGCAGCCCTCCTAGGGACATGGCATGGGCAAAGGAGAAAGACAAAGCAGGTTTTTAATCTTGCTAGCACTCTACCTGCTTTGCCCTATGTAAGGGTCCCTCAGTTGTCTTCAACTCCATCAAAACTCAAAGTAAATTCATTGTAAAGTGCAACTCAAACAACCCACTCCATGCCATCAGGCAACCATAATTCTGCTCCGTTTTGAACAACATTCCACCAATATCTCTCAGAAGTCATAGGCTTTATCTTTCTAGAACATGCAGAGAAAACACACAAGATTGCTGAGAGGAAAATAGTAGGATCATTGGAAAAAATGGCTGGAAGGGACCTCAAAAGTTCATTTAATCTAGCCCTGGCTCAAGGCAGGCTCATTCCTTACTAACCCATCTCAGTCAAGTGTCTGTCCAATAAGGTCTTGAAAATTTCCAAGGACAGAGATTCAACTCCTCATGGTATCCTGTTCCAGTGCTTGATTACACTCATATACAGAAAGTTCTTCCTACTTTCCAACCTAAATTTCCTTTGCTGCAGTTTGAAGCCGTTGCTCCTACTCCTGTCTCTTACAGTCACCGAGAAAAGCCCTTCTCCATCTTCTCTGTAATTGCTCTTCCAGTATTTGAAGACTGTTATCAAATCCCTGCTCAGTCTTCTCTTCTCCAGACTAAATAAACCTAACTCTTTCAGTCTTTCCTTATAAATCATGTTTCCCAAGCCTCTAATCCTTTTGTGTTCCTCTGCCCTGGACTCTTTCCAATCTTTCCCCATTCTTGAAGTGTGGGGCCCAAAACTCCAGGTGAGGCCTCACCAATGCTGAACAGAGGGGAAGGATCACTTCCGTTGATTTGCAAGTGACACTCTGGAAAATACAACCCAGCATGCTGTTGGGTTTTTTTTGCAACAAGAGCACCCTACTGGCTCACATTCAGAATATGGTCCAGATAGTGTCTTATCAATTTTAGCAAACATGAGCTGGTTAAACCCGTTTACCCTTGCACTGTAGCCCACTCCCAACAAAATCAACAGTCTGAAATGTGTTACAGATTCCCTCAAAGTAGCACTTGCCCCCCTGAATTCTGCCCAGATGTGGTATCTAGATGAGGTGAGCCCTTGGCTCCTCTGGACTCCAAGACCAGGCTTTTTAGTCTCTGATCCTCCCTGGTTATCTGTGACCCTCCCTAAGAGAACTACCTTCTCACCTCCATTCCTAGAGGGTTTTTACCTCTTCAAGAGGAAAAGGAGTACACCCAAAGTCCCAAGCAGCAAAACAGTCGGCTCCTCTTCAACAAACCATTTAATGTACAGCATTAGTTGCAGCAAACAGAGGCCTTTACACCGCAAACACAAACAGGCTCTGTGCCCCAAAACCAGCCAGCTGTTCTCTTTCCTTGATTCTAGACATCTCCCTTTTCAGGGCCCTCATCCCATCCTCCTTGTCACCAGAGATAGCAGGGAAGCTAATAGCCTCTTTGTTGCTTGATGTGTAATCACCCCTAATAGGGTACATACAAACTTTATATTTCAGTCAGTAGAATCACAGTCCAATGGTTCAGATGTGCTGTGTGGCAACCACCAATCCTCCTGGATCATGTTGTACGCGTGAGGGCCACCCAGACCTTTGACGCATATGCCTGGGCTGGAATTTCTGGAGAAGCAGAGGCTGCCCAGACCTTCCATCCTCTCTTTAGGTCACTGAGACAGAATCCAAAGACCAGACTGAGTCCAGATGTTTTGTGCCTCCATGGATGTAGTTGCATAAGTGTCTGGGAACTGAACTCAGGTCTTCTGTGTGGTAGACAAGGAGTCTACCACTGAACCACAGGGGACTCCTGATGTGTTGTGTACAAGCATGCAAAACACTTCAGCCATATTAAAAATGGCTGATGAGATGGAAAGCCCAGTGTTTGACAAGGTGCAAGTACTAATTGATTGAGGTGTACTTGGTAGCCGTGTTGGTCTGAGACAAGACATACAAAAAACTAGAACACTTAGTTTCAAAATGATACCTTTTATTAGAACAACTAGTAAATCGCAAGAAAATTGTCCTTTTCTGCATTGATTGGGGTGCACGCATTCACAGAGCAGGGAGGGAAATCTCCCAGCTCTTACTCCAAACCCTTTCTTTCCCCAGGCTATGAGCTAGTTGGGGAAACTAAGGTATGTGACATAACATGAATACATTTAAACCAGAAGTATTACAACAAACTCAAAGCTTGTCACCATCTGCTTGTTTCTTTCCCAAAAATGCTCTCTGGAAAACAGTACTTTTCATGAGCCCTGGCTCTTTCCTGCAAGCTAAGACTGTGGTCTTCAGTAAACTCCTTGATCATAGTATGTACACTCAGCACAATGAGAGGGCATGAAAAGACCCAATAGTTTAGAGTTGCATTGAACATAACTGCCATTTACTGAGTCAGACTGTAGGTCCATCTTGCCTGTGCTCCTGTGTCACCCAGTGGCAAGGAATGGAAGCTGAAAGGGAGAGCACAGGATATGACCAGGGTTTCCCCCCCATTTCTATCCCACTTGCAGCCTCCAGCATTTAAGGTCTAGGAAATTCTGATTCAGAGGCTGTGTCCCTAACTCCCGTGTTCTTTCAGTCACAGAACAAAATCAAGCCTTCTTGACTAACTTGGCAGTGCATCCAATGTTTATGAACATAACTGCCACTGACTACGTCAGACGTAGGTCCATCTCTCCCAGTCTCCTGTGCCACACAGTGGCAGAGAGCAGCTGCTGAAAGGGAGAGTGAACTGGGTCTAATCTGGGTTTTTTCCACTTTTTCTCTGTGACTTGCAGCCTCCAGCATTCAAGGTCCAGGAAGTTCTGGTTCAAAGGCTGCGCCCCTCACTCCCAAGCTCAATAGCTACTGAGGTCCCTTTTCCCCAAGAAAGTGTCCACTCCCTTCTTGAATCTGGCTTAACTCTCAGCTTCTGCTGCATGTGGCAATGAAAAGTATTATCATGCCCCTTTATAAATCCATGGTGCATCCACACCTTGAATACTGTGCCTAGTGCTGGTCCCCACACCTCAAAAAAGAGAGAGAACTAGAAATGGTCCAGAGAAAGGCAACAAGAATGATCAGGGGTACAAAGGCGCTTCTATATGAGGGGAGACTAAAGAGGCCAGGCCTGATCTGTTTAGAAAAGAGATGTTTGATGAGGGACGTGAGGGTTTACAAAATACTAAATGGTGAAGAGAAAGTCAATAGGGATTTCTAATTTACACTCTCTCACCATACAAGAACTCAGGGTCACAACATGAAAGGAGTAGGTAGGAAGCTGAAAATGAACACAGGGAAGTTCTTTTTCACCCAACGTGTCATTAAAGCATAGGACTCGTTGCCACCAGATAGGGTGGAAGCTGGCAGTTTAGCCAGATTCAGGAAGGGATTGGACATTCTTGGAGGAAAAGGGCATCAGTAGCTATTGAGCATGGGGGCAAGGGACACAGGCTCTGAACCAGAACTTCCTGGACCTTCACTGTTGGAGGCTGCAAGTAGGAGAGGATCAGAGCAGGGAAAACCCCCCTGGGCAGACCCAGTTCACTTTCCCTTTCAGAAACTGCTCTCTGCCCGTGTGACACAGGCCTTTATATTTGACTTAGAAAACAGCACAGCAAAGTCTCAGTAAATTGAGATGCATGCCCAGTCAGCTAGATCTACAAATTATGGCCCAAAAGCTCTGCCCCATATGGCCATCTTGCTGAAAGCCTTTAGTCCAGCTTGATGAAGCTGATGTTCTCAGGGTACTGGTGGAAGCACTGCCGGCATGTTTAGCCTGTAATTAGGGATCAGCCCGTGCCGATTTGAGTGCACACAGCAGAAGCAGGAGCCCTGGCCAAATTTTTAGGGTGGCTGCTGGTGGTCTGTGCTGCCTGCTGCTTCGCACATGGCCCTGAAAGGATACAGGTCTATTTGTTGCTTTAGAGCAGAGGCGGGCAATTATTTTGGGCGGAGGGCCCCTTACTGGGTTTTGGCAAGTCATCGAGGGCAGCATGATAGGCAGCCAGGGGCAGATAAATATTAATTTTCTAAATGTTTTAGGGGCCCCGCGAGCCGGATAGAATGGCCTGGCGGGCCGCATCCAGCCCCCCGGCCATGTTTTGCCCACCACTGCTTTAGAGGGACTGTGGGCCACTGCCCACTGCAAAATTCCATAAACCGCCTTTAAAAAGGGAAGCTGCTAGAAAAGCACCAACTAATTGCTTGGGACAACTGAAAACAACAGGGGTGGGAGTGGAGGTCTAAGGATTATAACTAGTATGCCAGACAGTGCCCAGCTGCCCTGGGATGAGTCCAAGGAGGCAGCGGACACTGCCCAGTGGTACCCTGCCCGGAGACAGGCTCACACCAGGGAGAAGAAACCAGCCCCACGGCTCCTCCTGCCCAGAGTCTCATTCCTGGTGAGAGTGATAGTCAACTTAGCCAGGGCCAGGAGGAGGCTGACCAAGAGGACACAGGACTTTTTAACACATCAGGGAAAAACATGGGCCCAGGTGCCTGCCAAGGAAATGATAAGCCCTCTTTAGTATTGGAGGTCAGTGAGGATGTGCTTCAGATTACTTGGGACAAATAATAATGAAAACAGGGACAGAAGTCAAAGGGCAATGACTAGTGTGCCAAGGGGGACACAGTGGACAGTGCCCGCTGGCTCTCCAGCAAGCCCAAGGACCCAGCACACTGCCCAGCGGTGCCCCAAGGGACCGGCGTCACACCAGGCATCTTCCGGGCCAGAGCCTCCTTCCCGCAGCGCAGCCAGGGCCAGACGGACACAGGAGAGCGGGCGGGGTGGACCTGAACCCTGCTCTGCCCTGGACACGTCACTTCTCACAGGCTTGTATGTTGTAACAAGCCCCAGGTTTCATGCTGAGTGGCCACAAAGAACCAGTGTTGCCACACAGCTGCCGCCTGCCCCTTCCATGTATTGCACCCCTTGCTCTGCGGGGTTGCAATACATCCCTCCTGACTTACTCCCCGCCATTGGGGATTTTGTAAACCCCTGTCCTCTCCCCCCCGCCCTAGTGTCTGAGCTGCGCCCGCCAGGCCCCGCCGCCTCATGTGCAAACCCCCCTCACGCCGGCGGCCGGCTCCGGGGGCAGAGGCAGCACGTCTCAGCGCAGCCCCCTCGCGCTGGAGAGGGGGCGGCCCGCGCCGGTTCCGCCCGCGCGCCCTGGCGGAGAGAGCGAGCAGGCGCGG